GTATAGACATAGCTATAGATACAGATACAGATATAGATATTGAGATTATAGATATAGATATAGACRTTATAGATATAGATGTAGRTATAGATATGGGTATAGATATAGGTATAGATATAGATATAGGTATAGACATTATTGATCTAGATATAGATATAGATATRTAGAGATAGATATAGATATAGACATTATAGATATAGATATAGACATAGATATAGACATTGTAGGTATAGRTATAGRTATAGRTATAGATATAGATATAGATATAGATATAGATATAGATATAGRTATAGATATAGRTATAGATATAGGTATACACACACACACATATATRTGTGTATATAGGGCCTGTATAGACATGTTGGTGTGTGTCTATGTAGTGTGTGTGCTTAGAGTGTGTATACATATATACAGTGTGTGTAGACGTGTGTCTGTGTGTATAGAGACGTGTGTGTGTATAGAGTGTGCGTGTATATATGTAGTGTGTGTGTATAGACGTGTGTGTGTATGTATACAGTGTGTGTGCATAGCGTGTGTACATATATATAGTGTGTGTCTATAGATGCGTGTGTGTCTGTGTGTGTATAGATGTGTGTGTACATATGTATAGTGTGTGTGTATAGACATGTGTACTTATATATACAGTGTGTGTGCATAGAGTATGTGTGCATATATATAGTGTGCGTGTATAGACATGTGTGCATGGGTAGTGTATAGATATGTGTGTATTTATATATATTTAGTGTGTATATAGTAATATATAGTGTGCATATGTAGTGTATGTATACAGTGTGCATATGTAGAGTGTGTGTGTATAGGTATGTGTGTATACATATATTTATATGTATAGATGTGTGTATGTGTATATGTATATGTATGCATATGTGTATATACATGTATATGTATTGTGTGTGTATAGACATATGTGTGTGTGTATACACACACACACACATATATATACATACGTGTGCGTACACACGGTGTGGAGCTGCTTCCCGCGGCACGGGGGAATCCYGCGGCACGGAATGCAGCGTGCGGTGCCCACGGTGCCCCCGTCCCGGCGCCTGGCCGCGGTTCCGCTGCTGGGGGATCCGGAGCCGCCGCGGGATCCGGAGCCACCACGGGATCTGTTCTAGAGCTGCTGTGGGATCCGGGACACAGGGATCTGCAGCCACCACAGGATCCACTCCAGAACCCCGGTGGGATCCAGAGCTGCCGCAGGATCCGCTATGGAGTCATGGTAGGATCCGAAGCCACTGTGGGATCCAAAGCCACTGTGGGATCCGCTCTGGAGTCGTGGCAGGATCCGGAGCCACTGTGAGATCCGGAGCCGCGGTGGGATCCCCTGCGGAGGGAGCGCACGGCCGGGGGCTCCCGCGGCTCCGGCGGCTCCGGYGGCTCCCGGCACCCGCTCGCGGCGCACGGAGGCTCCGTGACCCCCTGGGACGGGCTCCGTCACCCGGTCCCGGCTCCGCGCCCTGCAGGGAGGGAGCGGGAGGGCGCAGGGGCCGCCCGGATCCGCAGCAAMCCCCCCGCCCTTTCCCGGGCAGCGGGACACGGCAGCGCCCGGAGCCTTGGGGGGCTGCGGCTCCCCGGGGACCCCCGTCCCGCCGGGCACCTCCCGCTCCCCGCGCCCTTTGGGGAGCTCCCGCTCTGGCTGCGCCCACCCGCGGCACCTTGAAACCGGGAGAGATCCTGGGGCCTCCTTTGTGCCGAAACTCGCGTTTCTGTCCCCAAACCCACGCCTGGAGTCGTCAAAGAGCAGCGGCACATGCGCCAATTCCCCCCTCCCCTCCGGGAGAATCCTGGGATGGGGCCATTCCCGCTCCGGGAATGCTCCCGGCGGCTCGCCAAGAGACAGGGACTCGGTGCTCACGACTTATATCATTCTTTATATCATCGTTAAGAGGAGCGGGTATTGATGTACAATGCGTCTGTCGTCTTATTGTGCTTCCTATGAAAATGTGTGTACATAGTACAGATACCAGAGAGAATCCAACACTTTATACACTCGAAGGCATTCAGAGAGCAGTAACGGAAAGAAAATGGCACAAGAACAAGGCCTAAATGCTACTAGATGGATATCTACACTGATACGATGCATATAGATATATATATATATGTACACATATATATATAGTCATATATATTATATATAAGAAATATAAAATGAGAATGATATAATAGAAACAACCAAAAAAGTTTTTTTTTTTCCGGGTGAGCGGCAAGGTCGAATCTCAGCCCCATCTTTAAAAGCTTGAACGGGAGGAAGAGAGAAAATAAATAAACGAGATGCAATGAGCCATCGGGAAAAAAATCCATAAGAAAATTTATGGATGTGGCCGACCCGTCGTCTTTGGGCGATTGCTGGATACAAAGGACTAATTTCCCCACACGCAGTTTCTAATTTTGGTCAGGAAGCAAATAATAATAAATGACGATAATAGAAGCAGGACTGAGCTTTC